CACTAGTGAAAGTCAAGACATGTTTTTTTCAGGCTTCTAAAATAATCAAGCCACAGATAGAAATATGTCTCCAGACATATTTCTATGTGTGGCTTGATTTCCATCTGTGGCACTTAGTAAACGTTTTAAAGTGGTGACTAATTCCTACTTATTTTTCACAGAACTGTCTTTGATCGATAATAAGCAGCAAGTTGTTGAAGATAACAAAAAGTCATTGTTGACTTATTTGTTTGATGAGGTAATATTAAAGTCATTTATAGTTCTATCTTCATCTTTAGATTCAAACTATTTTTCTGTTACTTGACTGTCTACTATAAATTATTTCAACGGTCATTTTCATATATTCCAGGATAAACCGTTTAGTAAAATATTTCTGAAATACGCAAGAAATGGTCTTCTAGATGGTGGTCAAACATTTAATATTTATGATGACGATATAAGACTTGTTACAATCTCATTATTTAGAATTATGTTGGATTTTAGATATAATAATAAGACAAAGTATAAAAAATTGTTAGAATGGGCTAATCATAACATTAATCCTGAAATGATAGACTATACTAGACGACTGGTAGCACTATTTAGTGCGAGGAATAAGGAAGAGAAGTTCTTACCACCTTTTATTGCAAAACCAAATTACTTTGTGAACGGTGAAACCATATATAAAGCATTATATATGAAACGAAATATAGAAACAATTAGTGATGACGTAATGAAAATATACCAAATTTATAAAATAAATGGCAATGTTATTATCATCAATACAAACTATTCACAATGGAATGGTCCGTTTGGTGCATGTGATGAACTAATAAAGTATTTTACCGAAGATGTAGCTCTGAATAGCTATTATTACGGATTGCATCTTTTACACCCATTCTGGATGAGTAATGAAGAATTAAGCGAGCTAAATCCTCGGCATGCAGAACACTATTACTACGCAAACCAACAACTTTATGCTCGATATCTCTTAGAGAAAGAACACCTAGACATAAATGCAAAATTGCCAGATAGTACTTGCGAGTTAGATTATAATCCTTATTTATATTATGAAAATGGCTTACCATTTCCAACGAGATCTTCACTTATAGGAAGAAATATACAAAGTGACCTGGCTTATTTAAAATCTATAGATACAGCTATAAAAGAATGCATACACCGAGGGATGGTAATTATGGTAACAATCATTATTTAGAATATTAATTAAATGCTAACCCATTACTAAATTGGGTAATCATAAACATATGTACACTTTCATTCGATACCTATATTGAAAAATATATTTTATTTGGTGTTTATGGATTAGTAGTCTGCCATATTGGATTTATCAATTCGTATTTTTTTTAGAAAACCTCTTCGTTGATGCTCATAGAATATATATTCTTCGTTTTCCATAATAGACTACTTATCTGACAATGCATTTTCATCTAAACAAAACCTTCAGCTTTAAAATTTCATCTTTTTCGGTTGTGAATAACTGCTCCAAAATTTATATTGGACGAAAATATACATATACATGAGATCAATAATAATTTGCAAAAGCTATGCTGATATCCTATCTCTGAAAATAATTCTAAAAATCATCAATAATCTAGTCAGTTTCCTAATATACGCAATAATTGTTCAAAAAACATAGGAAATGTGTCAATATTTATTCGATGAGCAATGTTTCGCATAAGGACAGACTGAATTTATCTGGTTTAAGCATATTTAAAATATTACTGATGCAATATGAGAGGATCAAACCGGTCTATGTAATTATAGTTTCTTATTCTTATATACAGTTAGATTTAAAAATGTAAATATATATATATATATATATATATATATATATATATATATATATATATATATATATATATATATATATATATATATATATTCATAACTGCACTGTCATTATCAATCTAACTTAAATATTCATTGCTGGGAAACAGGTATTTCTTATGAAAGACTAAGACATACCATAGCAGAACCTATGGTATGTCTTAGTATGTAACTGAAGATTAACATTATAGACTTCTTATTTAATCAACAGGAAAATGGAACATATATAAAAATAACAGAAGAAAATTATATAGATTTGTTGGCCAAACTCATTCGCGCCAACTACGATGGAATAAAAGCCACAAAAATTATAAGATCGTTATTTGGGTATGGATATAATGGTTACCCTTCCGACAAGTAAGTGAAATTGAATTATTTATTATATTATTTTCATGAAACTTGATCTATTGAACGGACTAAATAAGATTACAATGTCAATTTAAATTTGTTCATTTCTTTAGAACTTTCATTCATTCATTAACTCTTTTTCTTCTTTCTCTATTTCTATGAGATAACCTAGATTTTACTACTTTTAACTGTTATGTTAGCATTATTAATTCACCTTTTTTTTGAATTATTATCTTTTACAGACCAAACCCGGCTCCTTCGGTATTAAACCATCCACAGACTACACTAAGAGAACCTATTTATTGGTTTCTAATGCGCACAAGCCTAGATTACTTCTCCGAATATTCAAATAAAACAGAACCTTACAATATTGCTGAATACGAAACCGACGAATTTGTAATTTTAGAAGCTAATTTCTCTAGAGTATCATCAATTTTTAAATATTTCTTTATAGATTTGCATAAATCTCTAGAAAGTGACAAAACAGTTCACATCGTTAGGTCAACACCAAATATTTTTGCTAGACAAAGAAGACTTAATACAGAACCCTTTTCTTTTAAATTTACTTTAGTGTCAAAGACAGAAAAAGTCGCCTTGATAAGACTGTTTTTAGGTCCCCGTTGTAATATTAAAAGTTGTGTTGAGCTGCATAATAGGTTTTTTCAACTTGACTGTTACAAGCATAAATTAAGTCAAGGAATAAATACATTGACTTGGAATCCTGAAAGTTCATCTAGATATTCAGACGATGGTAAATATTTTTCACTAGATTATAATAATGAACAAAATTATGATATTTTCAAATTTCCTAAAAACTTAATCATACCTAAAGGACTGGAAAAAGGTTTAAACCTGACTCTGTTTATAATGGTTCTTGATAATGACGAAATAAGTGACGTTCCTTCGGATGTCCGATTATACAATGAAATTGTACAGGAAATAAGCCCCAAGTCATTAGGATTTCCATTCCACAGAAAAACTTTATTATTTAATGAATTTGCACCTAATTACAGATTTTATAATATTACGGTATTTCATGAGAAAATTATTGAAGATAAAAAGGGCTATTTCTCTTCTTATCTTATTTGAAAAACCAAAAACAAAGCAAATAATCAAAAACTTTTTTATGTGATAAGTATCACATAATAGGTGATTTTATTAAATAATTAACTTATTAAATTATTCTGACAATTTAAACCATACGATGACTGATTCAAATGCCGACACAAGTTTGTATTACGCTTCGTCAACGCGGTTTGATATTGTTTACAAAATGGCATCGATAAATAACCAACTATTTGAAAATAATGAATAATGAAGTTGCACCGACGAGTGGAAATAAAAATTTCAATTTAATTTTGATAAAAAAGGAACAATTATCAAATACATTATCAAGATACGTTATTTTGTTTAAATAGCACTGAATTTACTATAATAATAAATTTTCTAAAATAGTAATTATATAACCAGTTAACTGTGTCATACATAATATAAAAATGTAAGCATAACATAAAATAAATAACTATATCTCGCATTTGGCAAAAGATGAAATATATTTAACATTGTGATTGATGTAACAAACGCTTGAAAAACATGAAAAACATATTAAAAAAGTATAGTATAAGTATTTTATTAAATAATAAAAAGTGTATATGCAAAAAGTGTATTCTAGCCTCCCAAAAAAATAAATAGCACTATGGGTAAATATAGAGAATTATCAGTAATGATTTTTAAGATACAGACGTTTATTCTGAAATAAACGGAATAGAAAAGGGATGGAAAAATATACCCATCACCAAGAAATTGCTGACATTTTTAACGATTACTTTATAAATTTTAATAATAATAATAATATCACTAAGACCCAATATCATCTGACATAATTATAATCCGAAAGAAATATTTGACGTGCTAAAATATCTTAAACAATTCTTTTATCTAAACATTTTATAATATTTTTATCATAAAATGTTTAAAAGATGCTCATAATCGCATTATTTCTAGATATGAGAAAAGTCTTTGATTGTGTTTTTCATGAAATCCTTCTCCAAATTAAAAAGTTACGGAATTAAAGGTTAAGTATTTGACTGGATAAGAAGATATAGGATAAGAAGAGTTATAAGTCAATTTAAATAAGAGTAATTTCGTCGAGTTGAAATAAACGGAATAGATTCAACAATGCAGGCGACTTTAGTAGTAATATCATGGATACGTTTCCTCATGCCTTAGATATGGTATTATCCTATGGGGATTCTCAGTGTATGTAGAGAGAGCCTTTCTTGTGCAAAAAAGTGCATTAGGTCTACGTGTAGTGCGGGGTATATCGTGATAATTGTGTACCTTTATTTAAAATATTAAATATACTAACGCTACCTTGTTTGTACATTTATGAAATTTGCATTTTTATACTGAAAAATCCAGAATTATTTAAAAGAATTTGTGATGCCATAAAAAGAACTTGCCGAAATAAATTTAGATTATATGTCCAATCTCAACGATTGCAAAGAAACAGTAAAATTTAAATTAATTATTGACAATTATTATGAATACATGACATTAAATTTAGTCACACTTTATGTAATATTTGTACACCGAACTAGATAGATTTTATGTTGGGATAGGACTTGGCTATAACACTTTTGCACATATTTGTATACCCAAAAATTTCTCAAATAAATGATTTCGAATAATATTCCTACTTCTATTAGTTATAATAAAGTGTTCATTACTGTTTATTTTCGTGTATTTTATATACTGGAATATTTGCAAAATTAGGGAGAATACAATAAAATCAAATAAGTACTAAAAATTCATTTATTTATAGTTCAGGTTTCTGTAATGCTTATCTGGTGAAATTAATGCTTAGTGCTCTCATTACTGTGGTACATCATATTGTATACATTTGGATACTCGCTGCCTTGTTGGTACACTACGACGTCCTGTACATACATGTTGGGCTGCATAAAGTACTGGGTAACTGGACGATCCAGTGGGTAACCCAAAGGCTTTTCATCCAAAAAGAATACATGCTCATTTACTTTCTGTTGGGTTGTACTTTGACTCTTATAGACAACAACGAAGACCTGGAGAGGGAATCCACCGTTTGTGCCTCTAGGCAGCATAAGCCTGTTAGGTAAGTTATCATAATTGTATACCATATCGTAAGGTACTTTGTTCTGTGCTAAAAATTTGTATATAACAGAAGTAGGTACTGAATCCTCCTTGTAAAAGAAGAATTCATTGGAGTTTCGCTCAATTACGTTTTCGCCTTTGGTAAGTTTGTGCGTGAAATAATCCAATTCTACAAAGTTCATGTAGTTGTCCTCAAAGTTGATTTCATTGCCATAGCCGTCGTATTTTGGACCAATAAAGACCTTGAAAGTAGCTTGTTCTTCAACCTCAGATTTGACTGAGACCTTCACCGTGAAAGGTTGATGATTAAGACGAGGTTGGACAACTGCATATTCTTGTTCTGTGCCCGAGATGATCTCTTGGTTTGTGTAATAAACCATGTTAGATACATTAAATGCGTGGAAATCAAAGTAGGTCTGCAATTTGCTCACTTCAACTTTGTTCACTTTGACACCAACATAATGAAGCTGTTCCTGGGTGTATGAAGGCAAATATTGCTTGTATTGAGAAATGAAATAGTAAATCTTATTGTACATTTGATAGAATGCAGGATCACGAAGAGAAGTCTGATAAAAGTCCAAGGCGGAGGGCATAAAATCATAACTGAAAGTGAAAATATTAGTTGTTAAACTCGGTTAATATATTACGCGGTCGCAATCCCATAAATTACTATCAATGTCATATCAATGATTATGAAAAGTTAAAAATATATATTCATTTAAATTTCTCTAAGGATGTAAATTGCTCATCAGCATAAAAATCAAACAATTAATTTTATTTAAAAAAAATGTACTTACTTGTAGCTAGGTGGAGCACCACTGAGAATGCTACGAGCAGCAATCTCGTAGGATGAGTAGTAGTTACGGTGGGGCGAAAGCTTCTCAAACAGATCAGGATTAGCGTTCCAGAAGTTACCAACAAAGTTAATGAATTTTTCGTTGGAGAAATCAACTTGCTGGTTGAACTGAAACAGAAAATGAAAATAATATTTACCTCTTATTTAAATGTTAATTTATATATAATCAATAATTTCAAAGTAATTAATACTTACAGCACTAAATTGGCCTTCTTCAACAAACGTCAGGAACATATCTTCATAATTACGGACAAATCGGAGGTCATTGAGATTGTAGCTGTTTTGCATCACGTAGTTGTCGCTCCTTTGGACAAATGGCGTGAATGAACTGCTCATGACTGGACGGTAACCTTGTTTGAATGGTTGGTACCACGAGAATGTTGGGATTTCACCCATATTATTCGAAAGTCTTTCCAGGTAGTAACGAGCCAATAGCTGTTGGTAGAAGTGATAGTAAATTTCACCACGACGTTCTTTGAAGATACCATGAGCGATTTCGTCACCGTCCTGCCAGAATGGCATGATAGCATGGAAATAATAGTAGAAACTATTAAAACCGATGTCTTCAGTGAGATAGGCCAGTTTGTATTCATCACCGTAAGTGTGGTAATCAGAATAATTTTGGTAGTATAAGTGGTAATTGCCTTCTTTATAAATTCCATATTCGGGGAATTCTTCGAATACCTCACCTCGCATTTTACCATAGTAAATCTTGGTAAAGACGTCATGATTCACGTAATACTCTGGTACTACTTCATAGAAAGGAGGAAGAATCAATGATGCAGTATCAGCGCGTTGGATAACAGCGATATAGAAAACATATGTAAACATATATGGGTTCACATTTGCACGCGCCCAAGAAGCTGAGTAGTAGAAAGTGTCAAAATCCTTCGCATAGTAGAATACGTCATACAAAGCTTTAGCTTGATGTCTCATTTTCTCATTAAAGATGGTAAAAGGAGAATATTTTGGTATGAAATCCTTATGATACATTGTCAAGAAGTTTTCGACGACTTCTGGCTTCTGTAAACAAATAAAATAATACATTTAAAACTATATCATTTTTTTGCATACGGTAAAACAGAAATTGTTCATTCTTGACTACATAGATAGCAAATGATGTTAAGTATAGCAATAGCTCTGAGTCTCATCAAAAAACCTTTATGTCTGTCAAAATCGGAAACACAGCCCATTAAGCTAAGGAATTGGAAGCTCATCAATAAATTGAACTGTTATGATTATATTTTATTTATTTTTACGAATATTCGATTATTTCTAGATGTCACGAACATTTAGCTCTATAATAATAGCAAAAGATGCTATTATTATTGAAAGAAAAAAGATTAGATATGAACTAGTACTTATTGAAAAGATATATTTTTGATCTATGGGGGCAGCAGGTATCGTACGGCCGATGATGCTGCAATATTTTATACTAATCTTATGTTACTTACTTCATATTGATTATGATGTGCACTCAAGTCATAGTTCTTGTATTGGTAATATTGAGCGGCAGGATTTTCTAAATGAACATTTTCTAAAAGTTCCAAAACTTTGTACTGGCGTGCCGCGGTAGCTGCATCAACTAAAAACGACAAAGATTATTGGAAGAATATTAAAAAAAAAACTATTACTAACTAGGTAAGTAAGTCTTTTTAAATACAACTCGTTTTAGTTATATAGTGCTGATTGAAATAAACTTCTAATTGAATTTATTTTGTTTAGATGTTGTATTCCAAAGCAACAATTACAAAATATAGTATAGCCATGGTTTCTTTGAATACTCAATATATAAATTTCATGTGAAATTATTAGGTTACAATGTTATAAGGAAAATTAATTTTACCCTAGAATTACCGACTATCAATGCTTTGCAATTGTACAAATAAAAGTATTGTATTGTAACCTAATAATTTCACATGAAATTTATATTATTTTAAAAACTTCTTATATTTTATTGCAAAATAATTTTATTTTGCAATAAAATATAAGAAGTTTTTAAAATAATAATTTGGAATATGTATTATGGCTTACCCTGTTCAGTCTTTATGCTGGAGTATTGATTGTTGAAAGTCGGGACTGTCCCGGCCAAAGCCAGGGTCACCACAAACGCCAGTACTAAGACAGTCCTCATTGCGGCTGCTTGAAGACAACTGTGCCGGGAATATCATTTCACGAACTATTTATATGAAATTCCTTATCAAACACCCATATTATTCTATCACAACCTGAAATACGGCATTAATAAAAAAAATTGATAACAAACGTGTAGTCACTAAGGCCTCTTTATGTTCGTTTATTGTCGGAAAACTACTGGTTTAGGTAAATGGTGTAACTTGTTATTATAAGTATCTTAAAATAGCTTAAAAGTTTTAACAAAGTACCTACTGTTACCTATATTTTTTTGTGTTTGTTTGGAACATTCTCTAACATTAACCTTCTTAATTTAATTTGGCTTTGTTTTAGCGATTGCGTAATCATCTCATCGAAAAAATATAATACCTACTCATGTACCTATAGTATAGTATACATAATAACATTACTTTTGTTATTTACAGAATTTCCAGGTAGTTTGATAAGATCAACTTTACGATCACATGTTTTTGTTATTAAAAAAAATAATAACTACAAAGAAATTTAAAAAAATATTGATAGCACATCTGCACTTGATGTAAAGTAAATGCAGTAAAAATTAATCCTATTTATAAGTTTGCTGGTAATGATATATATTTGTATCAAACTTTTTCAACTGACTAGTTCGCCACTCTTTCATAAAGCTATTTTCAATCGGATATAACACGTTTATATTTGATATTTCATTTATCCAATATATCGAGAACGGCTAGGTTATGAATAGTATATCCGTCATATATTTTTGATATCATAGATCTCAAGAAGATACAAGATATGAAGAACAATATGCATAATAGAACCAAATTCGAAAAAGTGTAATACATAGATTTAAACAACGTGATATCAATTATACACTCAAAAATAATGGTAAAAATTTAAATGAAAAATACTTTAAAATATTCATCAATTCCAGCTTAAGTATTCGTTAAAAATAATCACCAATATACTAATGTGAATGCAAATTAAATAAAAATATAATTAGAAAAAAAAATCATCTTAATCAAGCTTTAAAATTTTATTAAAAATATTTATTTCGGCTGTTTGGGCGGATTGCCTGAACATTGATGAAAATACGCTCACGAGTAGCTAAAAACAACAAGTGCTTAAAAATCGACAATTTCATTAGGTCTCATGTAGCTCATTGGTTAGAGCAAAGGTCGTGGATTCGAGTCCCGAACTGAGGTACCTGGGACAGGTGGATATTTTAAACATTTTTCTTTAAGAATAAACGTGATGTGTTACTATATGTACTATTCTATACAATAGTCTTCTCTAAAAACTACCAGCTACTCATATTGCTTTGATTAGCTAAAGACTATTCAAATTTTCACTTGTAACTAGTAATCATAGCCCTGAGAGCCTAATCTATTTATCCCTGAACGGAAAATTTGAAAATTTCACATCTTTCTTATAATTTTGACAAAATAATATTCATGAAGATTATTTGTGCATGAGTGGCAGTGTCATATTCGTTGTATCATTAATTATCGAAATAAAGCATTTCTTTGGAGTCGTATTTGCATTTCGAAAATAGACGCAATTTCGTTTTCGGAGAAAAAACACAATAATCTTTCAGGGATCATCTTAATTCGTATGATTAATAACAAAGGTGTGGCAGGTCCTAAAATTCTATGAATGTTACAGAATAATATTATAGGCTAATTAAAATCATAATAGAAAAGAAAAATATGTTTGTTGTTTCAATACTTTTTGGTTGGCACATTAATCTTTTAATATTACCGTGTAATTTCCAGGGCATTTTTGAAATCGCAAAATTATGGTGAATTATATAAATATTTCGAAAACTTCTGCAAATTTAAACAACATATTAAAATTGGCCACGACTGAGATCTATACTTTTGCTAAAAAAAATGTAGAAAATTGGCGGACCATGGAAATTACAATAAAGGCAATGGAAATTACACAGCAGATAAAATTTTGCTAAACACCATGTCATATATGAAATTAAGCTGTCATATTAGTTAGGGTAGTATTAAGATCTACCTACATTATACTGAAACGATATACAGTACTTACTCAAAATTGGAACGAAACGTAAACACGTTCATGTTCTCAAAAAACAAAATATATACAACGTGTTATGGAAATAGCGCAAAACCTCTCAGGTGGTAGCTCAGCCCATGAAACTGAACAACTTTCACTATGAGACCAACATTGAAATTTCAGCATCTGGCAAATTTTTCGAAGTAACGTTACATCGGACAAACAAAAGTCGGGCGTCGAAGTAAGATATGCGATGTATTGAAACTTCGAACAATGAATGCTTCGACGTACTCGTATAGTTGTCGATGTATCAATTATCGAAGAAACGTGTTTCGAAGTGACATAGAGAACCCTTTTTCGAAATGGTTATTTATTTTGTCAATTATCTTATAAAATACGCATCCTACGTCAAATATCAATAATTAATTTATTGTAAATTTAATTGGCTTTCATTTAACACCAAATTGGTACCTGTAGGGCCAGTGGTTTTCTCAAAAACGATAGATAGCGAACACCGGTCATAAGTAGATATTAGGAGGTTATTTCAGTCAAGATAACCCCCTTTGGCTATCTATCGTTTTTGAGAAAACCATTGGCCCTACAGGTACCAATTTAGTGTTTAATCAAAGTAAATTTTTACAATAAATAAATAAATTAAATAATATGTTAACTTAATCCGGTGTAAAAAATGTCCTTGTGACCCTGTTGACTTCAAACAGACGACAGCGAAAGACAGATGTTTAAACTTGAATTTGTTTAATCACGATTTGAGAATTTGAAGATGATGATCAAAGTTTTAAATGATATTTAAGACGATTTAATTAAAAAAATAACCAACATTCAACATTTAAGTCTGTATTTGGCGATGGCGTGCATTTCATTGAAAACAAACATTGAACATAACGTTTGTTTTTTTGCAACCAAAAAGAAACAAGGTAATTTCCATGGGTGATACGTAATTTCCATGGTGTTTTATCCATGGAAATTACACCATGGAAATTACCAAAAAACATATATTTTGAAATTACTCTGCATTGAAAAGATATAACCGGCTAGTTTTTTACTGTTTATCTACATTATAGAGCTAGGTATTTCACCTTAAAACCCATTTTCTAGAAGAAGTACAATTATATTGAAAAAATGTGACATGGCAAAGCCGGATAACTGAGAACCAAAATTTAAGAAATTGAAGAACTTATTTTCGCAACGAAAGCGCGGGAAACAGCGACGTGGCCACCTCACCTCAATTACCTATCGCCCGTGTTCAAAGGAATTCATTCGTTATATCTTACGTTTTAAATGGGTTAATATTATCTTGTATTACAACACATGCTACTCATAATTACAACTACAGACTATCCAAAATATCTTAAAATGATGATATTATTTTATATATATTTTTTAATGTTTTGGTTCCAATCAGATTCAAGATAACAGGAATCCGCATCTAGGAAATAATTATGGGTTTATATAGCTGATTGAAAAACTTTAGACAAGTGTCTTATTTTAACCCCCGACGCAAAAAGAGGGGTGTTATAAGTTTGACGTGTCTGCGTGTGTGTATATCTGTCTGTAGCATCATAGCTCCCGAACGGATTAAGCGATTTCAATTTTTTTATTTTATTAAATGTGATGTTTGTGCGAGTGTTCTTAGATATTAGATTGTTAGATTGTACCGGGCGTAGTCACGGGCTGACCAAATATAGGTAGGTGAAAACCTAACTATCGAAATCTATCGCGTTCATACCCGTCTTTTACAATCTAATATAATGCAACGCGAAAGTTTAAATGTTCTTAGATATGTTTGAAGAAAATCGGGTGAGCGGTTTAAAAGTTGTGGGGCTAAAAATGGGGAAGAATAACCGAATGTCTGCAAATATACTCGAGTGGGGTCTCAAGTGAAAGCGCACTGAAAGAGAATTTTGATGACTTAACTGAGTGTGTTCTTAACTTTGGTTGATGAGAAAATTATTATATTAAAAAGTTGAAGACTAATATAAACATTAAGTTAGAATTATTAGTTATAGAAACAAAAACTAGTCATTTAAAATAAGATAAAAGCTAACAAGCTTGACTTTAAATATAATCTTTACCTCGTCCCGTGTTGGAGGACCGCTCCAAACCTAATAATTTAATACGTCCTCCATCGCAACGTATTTTTTTAGAATTATTAATAGATATTTAGGTACCTACTTTAAGACTGAGTTTTTTTTTACTTTTTTAATTGAATTCAGATTTTTGCGTTGGGGCTCGGTTAGGTTAGTTTTCAATAGCCTCTCGTAATTCTCTTTGAGGGATAATTAGGTATGGGAAATTTCACGGGTTAGTTATGGTTAGAGAAAGATAGAAGATAGTTGCACAATATCAGTAATTTAAGGAATCATGCGTTCTTTCCACGGATCTTTTTCTAGAATTTTCGCAATTGATATCTGGCATGTTAAAGAGCTTTGAAACTTTATACTATTTAAAAATAGCTTTCTACTATTTAATTACGGGTGTAGACAATAAACGAATATAAATACATTTTTTTTTTCTGGTAGTGTTTCACTACCATAACAGTTTGATTACTATTACCGATAGTCAAACTTTTATGCTAATAACATTTATAATATTGCTTAAATTAAACATGAAAAAAAATGTTGCGATACCCCTTATTTAACTAGACGACCCATGCGTATTTTAATATGGTAATTTACATGTATATAATAATCTAACATATAACTTTGTAAAAATCACATAACAGATGAAGATACATTTTCGTTTACTCTAAGTTTCCTGTGCCATTTAATGATAAACAAGTTTCTCCTTATCATTATCATCTGTAAAACTGAGCATAGGCCTCCTGCATATGTCTATGGGGTAGACCTATGCTCAGTTTCGTGTCGTTAAGTAGATTGTAATTGATGATAGCATGGCTTATGTGCTGATTTTAATGTGATACTATCTCCGAGGTACCGGGTTCGTTTCTCAGTCGGGGTCAATATATGTGTCTTTTTTATTTCAAATGCAAATGTGATTTATCTTGGAATCCAA